ACCTGGGCCTGGACATAACACGGCACTCGGTGCCTGACTACATGTGACCGAGCAAACCAACTAGCTGGCTGAATCAACATGTGATATCATAACATACTGAATGCGGAAGATAAACTAACACATGCTGATATACTAAAAGTCTGGATGATATAAATCAAAGTGCGGAAATACTAATACAATTCTGAAACATATTTGCAGCCAACATAGCTTAACATGAAAAGCCTGAGACTCTGTCTAACTATTACTCCAGTCTATGAAGCCTCTAATGAAGCACTGAAAACACAGACTATTTGAAAATACTGAAGACTGTAAGGTAATGATAATGCCCCGAAAGAACTGGGGATCACCAAATAGCTGGTACGAGAATCCTAACGCTCTGAATCATCAACCTGTAAATCATTACCTGCATCGTGAGATGCAGGCCCCGGGCAAAAAGGACGTCAGTACATTTGAATTGCACTGGTATGTAAAGCAACTGAAAGAAAGATTATAAATGCTTAAACTGAAACTAAGCTGATAACTGAGAATTGATAATTGATAACTGAAATGATAACTATTGAAACTGAAACTGAAATAATAACTGATAACTGATAACTGAACTGATATCTGGTAACTGAAATGATAACTAATAACTGAAATGATAAAGGAAGTAAGGATATGAATACTCCCTCTTCTAAATGATGAACAACCTGATTATTTGAATAAATAAATATATATATATATATATATATATATATATATATAATGAAGCCTCGGGCCCAAGTATACGTATACATAACTGCGACCTCAGGTCCAAAATGCATAAAGCATAAACTGCGGCCTCAGGCCCAAAGATGCATAAAGCATAAACTGCGGCCTCAGGCCCAAATATAGGTGTTCAACATTCAGGAACTGAGAATCATACTGCAATACATGATAGTGAAATACTGAATTACACTGAGTTACATGATACTGGAATACTGGATCATACTGAGTTACATAATACTGGAATACTGAGTAGGACTAGACTGAGACATGTATTCTTGAACTGATTATGAACACTGAAACTTTAACTATTTATGACATGCTGAGTAACCTATACTGAGACTCAGGGACATCAAGCCCAAGCCTATATTGAATACGAACTGAGCTCACAATGTTCAGAATGAAAGTCATGAACGAGTTATGATGCTAGAGAATAGAAGTTCTACAACTATTCAAGGAAACTAGGCTTAACTATATTTCTGAGGCAATTAATAACGTCGTAAAAGAAACATAGTGTAGGGAGAATCATTAACATTCCCAAACATAGAGAGTTAGCCTCACATACCTTAACTTCCTGCTCTTGAGCATAATACAAGGTTTGTCAACTCTTTCAACTTTAATCCAAATCAATAAAAGTCAAAGGGATTCCATATTATCTATGATGCTCATGTTTTGGTCGCTTAAGTATCTTATCAAACACTTGGTGAGAATAAAGCTTCATAGTCCTTATTAATGGTGTTTCTACGCCCAACAAGCCATTCTCTTGATCCTAGATAAATTCTAAAATCTCAAATTTCTTATAATCAATGTCATTCTTCTTCACCCATAAGATAAATAACACCCTTAACCAATAATCAACAATCAACACCCCAAACCTATAATCGTTCATGTTTTTCTATCAAATCCATCAACTCATATCTCATGAACTAGGGTTTATAATCATTAAACCAATGCGAGAATCAATTAGAGAGTGAAGACATTATCTTTTTGAAGTTCAAACCCTTTGAATTCGAGTTCTAGGCTTCCTTCTCTCAACAATGATGTCCCAATCGAATATCTAATGATGTGGAGGGTTTACCCATATTAATAAGACGTTGGGAAATTGAAATTAACTTAGAATCATCATTAGAACTTACCTTGGGTGGTGGAGGGACCTTTAAGGAGTTAGGTTTTTGAGAGTTCCCCTTTCTAGAGCAAGTTTTTATGTTTTGGAGCTGTGGGGGACGAAGTAGGGCTTTAAAACGACCCCCCACGAGCGCGCCCACGCTCCTGGAGACCTGACCGCGCTACTGACCGCGCAAAACGACAGTAACACTGCCTCAAAATTAGCGTGGTCGCGCTAGGGGCGCGCTACAGGGCGCGCATATCGCGTACTGTTCTGTAAAACGCGTGTTAAATTTTTGCACAGAGATCCGTTCGGGATCCATAATATATCGTTGGAAAGCTATTTCAAAGGCCTACAACTATCGTGCTTTGAGTTTTCCCAAATTCCTTACAAATTTTTACTAAAACCTTATGGAAGACAGACCTTCTGCAAACTTAGTCGATTTTGTCATATCTTATGCACCTCACTTTCCATCTTGATTTTGAAACAACTATTTTACCCATAATCATCCCGATGGGACTTCACATGTCCAAAATATAACCTTACTACTCCTTTAACTCATTCGTACCTAAGCCAAATTTACGGGGTGTTACAGGGTGACCGGCTCCGAATCCCCTAAATTTTGCGGGACCATAAAAAATGACCTATGAATATTGCTTTGTCATTGCCGTTTCATTTTTTTGTATTTTACGGTCAGTAAACAGAAATTAAGCACGATTTCCAAATGTCCGTGTGCTATAGTCTACGCCATTTGCATGAATTCGGGCGACCAGCTCCGAATCTCCTGAAATTTTACGGGATTATAAAAAATGACCTGATGAACAATATTCATCACTTTGCCGTGACTGTTCTTTATTTTTTGGCATTATAGGGCCATAAAACAAGAATTCAGCACGATCTTCAAATTTTCGTGTGTTATGGTCCACGCCATCTGCATGAATTCGGGTGACCGGCTCCGAATACTCTAAAAAATTTCCGCACCTTAAAAATGACCTAGTAAACATTAATCATGGTTTCTCCATGACCGTTCTTTATTTTTTGGTGTTTTAGGGCCATAAAACGAGAATTCAGCACGATTTTTAAATTTTCGTATACTATAGACCACGTCATCTACATGAATTTGGACGACCGGCTGCGAATCCCCTAAAATTTTGCGGGACCATCAATAATGATCTAATGAACAATAGTCATCGCTTTGCTATGACCGTTGCTCATTTTTTAGTATTAGGACCATAAAACAGAAATTTATCACGGTTTTTAAATTTTCGTGTCCATCCACACCATCTGCATGAATTCGGGCGACCGACTCCGAATCGCCTAAAAAATGACCAAATGAACAATAGTCATCGCTTCGCCATGATCGTCCCTCGTTTTTTATCGTCTTAGGGCCATAAAACAAGAATTAAGCACGATTTCCAAATTCTCGTGTGCTATAATCGGCGCCATCTGCATGAATTCGGGCAACCAGCTCCGAATCCCCTAAAAATTTTTAGGACCATAAAAATTGATCTAATGAACAATAGCCATCACATCGCCATGACCGGTCCTTATTTTTTTCCATTTTAGGGCCATAAAACAAGAATTAAGCACGATTTTTAAATTTTCATGTACTATAATCCGCGCATCTGCATGACCGTTCCTTATTTTTTGGTATTTTAGGTCTATAAAACAGGAATTAAGCACGATGCCAAAAAAAATTGTGCTATAGTCTACGCCATTTGCATGAATTCGAATGACCGACTCTGAATCGCTTAAAATTTTACGAAACCATTAAAGATTACCTAATGAACAATAGTCACTGTTTCTCCATGACTGTTCCTTTTTTTTAGTATTTTGGGGCCATAAAATAAGAATTAAGCACGATTTCCAAATTTTCGTGAGCGTCCATGCCATCTGTATGAATTTGGGCGACCGGCTCCGAATCCCCTAAAAATTTTTAGGACCAGAAAAATTGATCTAATGAACAATAGTTATCGATTTGCCATGGTCGTTCCTCATTTTTTTGGTTAGGACCATAAAACAGGATTTCAGCACGATTCCCAAATTTGCGTGTGTTATAGTCCACGCCATCTGCAAGAATTCGGGTGACTGGTTCTGAATCACCTAAAATTTTGACGGACCATAAAAATGACCTAATGAACAATAATCATCTATTCGCCATGATCGTTCTTTGTTTTTGGCATTTTGGGGTCACAAAATAAAAATTAAGCACGATTTCCAAATTTTCTTGTGCTATAGTCAACGCCATCTGTATGAATTCGGGCATCCGTCTCCGAATCCCCGAAAAATTTTCAGGACCATAAAAAATGACCTAATGAACAATAGCCATAGCTTCGCCATGACAGTTCCTCATTTTTTTGCATTTTAGGAGCATAAAATAGGATTTCAGAACGATTTCCAAATTTGTGTGTGTTTTAGTCCACGCCATAGTCCAAGCCACTGCAAAAATTCAGGCATTCGGTTGTGAATCACTTAAAATTTTGCTGGACCTTATAAATGACCCACTGAACACTCCACCCAAAAAAAGAATTAAGCATCATCAATGAGTGTGATGACATGATTGAGATTCCTTCACGTAATTAGTTGTCTCAAGCTTGAGTAGTGAGAATGAAAAATGTTTCAAGTCCCACAGCCAATTTACAACAACAATCAACTAAAGTCTCACATGTGAGGTTAGGGGAAGGTAGAATATATGCAACCTAACCCGACCCTCCGGCAACCGCCAATATAGAAAATGAAAAACTTCTTATAAAAAGTGTTTTACTTTCCTCAATGGACTTATCTGACGTGAACCGAATTGGTCAAAGTCAATGAGTTTTGAATACCAAATGATTTTAAAAAATAATTAACTTCTTAAAATATCATCGTATGTGACTGACAGTTAATGCTCCAAAAAATTAACTCTAAAAGAAAGAAGAGAAAAACGACAAAATTATTTTTTAAAATCATTTGGTATTCAAAACTCATTTCCAAAAGAAAGAAGAGAAAAAACGACATAATAATAACTTCTTAAAATATTATCGTATGTCCCTTATTCATGTTTAATGTGCAGATCCCAGGCACAACTAGGTTTTGCAATCTTTGAATAAAAAAATTGCTGAATACTAGTTGTGTTTATGTTTAAAATTAACAACAGCAACAACAAAAAATATGTGAAGATAGGAGGCATGCAAAGATTTCACTACTGTACAATCAATAGTAATAATTTGTAGGTAAATATCCTCCTATACAGTTCAATCCGCAGGCAACTATATAACAAATCATCCTACTGGGCCATATTTTGCAGCCCCTGGCTCAACTATATATGCAAATCTCTTTCTGTATTCAAACCTGCTCCGGAAAGGAGCAAAGCCGAAAAAGCTCAAGTGATTTTCCCTTGACAGATTGCTTCCAATGATCAGGAAATAGAATATACAAAAACCATTGCTATATTAGAACTCTACAGGGCTAAAACTAGACATTTTCAACAGCAGCTGTTATGTTGAGCAAGTAGCCCACTTCCCCGGTCTTCAAATGAGATGAGACGATTACAAGTAGAAGAAGCACGTTACCTTCAAGTTGCATGGATCAGCTCATTGATTTGCAACAACATAAACGCAATTGGACAGCATGATCTTCAAGAATGTCCTTCCTACTGATGTGCATAGTCTGCAGGGAAGAGGCGAGGCACGTTTTGGGGGATGTTGGGGGAATAAGAAGTTAGCAAATATTAGGAAAATGTTTAAGAAAATCAAAGCTTATACAGATTAAAAGAGCAAACATATTTTAAGACTTAACTACCACTAGTTTTTTCTTATGATACTTGCTAAAACACAGCAAATTGGGGTCAAGAAATTGGTTTAATAATGAGCTGCAAAGTGTACAAAATTAATAGCAATAATAGATGGTCAAGTGTAACGTTAAATCTGACTTGTCATTCAAAAGAACACCAGTAATGACAATGATGAGCAGTATTTGGTTACTGAAATAGGTGTTGGAATGTTAAAGTCATTTGAATAAGAGAGCAAAAAGGAAATAAGGTGTTGGAATGTTAAAGTCATCTGAATAAGCGAAAAGGTTCTGTAAATTGGTCAGGCAATTACGATACCAAGTATAACTTCAAAATAAAACAATAGCTTTAACAGCATCATTAGACAATCAAAAAATAGGGAGAAGTTAAGCCCAATATCAACCTCAACTGATACAATTAGCGAGTAAATAACAATCTACTATGGAGAATGATGGCTTGACAAAGTTACTTAACAAACTCAAGCAACTCACACAATTATCAATTTGAGGAAGGGCTACTATCCCTGATCAAACAGTTAGCAAACAATGCCCATCTAAGAAATATTAGGCCTATAGCTATGTTCTTTTTGTTATGATCTTCAGAAGCCAAGCAATAAGAAAGATGCCACAAATATACTGACAACCATAATACCACCAATTTCCAAAGATAGAAATAAAGACAGTGGTATTCCGATCGGGTGAGAGAGGGGAGGGCTGTAAACAAAGAAAAGCAAAGAAACGGTATGCTGGCTCTAACTCAAAATTGTTGGAAGAGATTACTGAGGTACCTCTGTATGTGCATGTGGGAATGCAATAGCCCAACTCATCTATCAACTCGTAGTACATTATTGTGTATTGCACCTCTTGTAACAGACTCCATTTGGGGATCAGTTGTCCAGTGGCCATCAACAACGAATTTTATCTGTAGGAAATAAAGTCGTCGAACAATGTAAGACACGATCAAACATCTATAAAGCAGGAGAACAGAAAAATTGAATAATAGTGGTAGAAACTTATCAAAGAACTAAACTTGCTTAGTCGTTGTAGGACGTTCTAAATAAAGAAGTCCTTGCTTAAGTGAGATTGTCAGACTATTAAAAGTTAAGGAGTAATGAAATTTGATTTTTCTGGAGTAAAATGGGAAGATTCATTCCAGAACTATATAGCAGCAAACTTCTTCCTAAAATCAAAATTGGCGAGCACAATTGCTGCACTTTCATCATAGAACTATGATGTCAGAAATGGCCAAAGAATTTAGTTGACCCCTTCAATTGACTCTCAGAAGTCAGTCTCTTTTCTTCCTTCTATTTCCTTCATTCGATTTCATTGCCCTTTTCTCTTTGTGTGTGCGTGTCTGTCGAGGGGTGGGAAAGGAGAATTTCAATAGTATTTTGGTTTGTTGATTTCACCTCAATGACAAGCTGAAAATAGATTCTACGATCCTACTCCAAACATTGCAAACTGGAGCATACCACCCCTGGATCTCTATTTGTTTTAGGACTTAAAATAAACTGGATACACTTCTACTGATATGTTTTTTACTTCCGACTTAATAGTATGAACATTCATATATTTTAGTTGTAATATCTAACCAAGTAACATCATTTTCTTTCTTCTAAGATCGAAGACAAAAATCATACCACAGAAACAAGTGCTGAATCTAATTTATTACTGCAAGAAAAATATAACGTTTATTTTATCAACACAATCTATGAATAAAACTCCATTGTGGTTATTAGTTTTACTCAACCTCAATTCTCGAATTCACTTGCCTGCACCCCTCGTGACTGCAAAGTTATGAATATGACTCGGCGAAGAATACCAACAAAATGAGCTTAGAGTTTAAGATCTTCTAAAGATCAAGTAATATTCACCTAATAGCATTGTCTATAGACAACAAATGCATGTCAAGCAAAAGCCAAGTTACTTATTCCAAGTACACCTATGAGGAGAGAAGTGACTGGGCAGCCAGCTTTTATTGCTTTAGCATATTGTAGTTTGCAGATAATGTACCTCATATATCCCTGGATACAGCCATAGCACAGTTTTCCAAAGTCGAGGTTTCCTGGAAAGCATCTTTTATCATGTTATTCATAATACTACAGTAACTGTCAAAAAGGAGGTTGAGGTCAAAATTTGCTTCTGCATTTACATATTTAAATGACTATTGTAAACAAATGAAAATACATGATGACTCAAAAAATAAGAATAATTCAAGTCTATTAGGACCCAAGAGTACAGATTAGCACGCAGTAATATCATGGGTTTGGGCCCCAAGTGGGGGAGGGGGGATGGGAATGGCATTGTAAGATGTTTGAAATTTGGCACTTACCCGACCATAAGAGAAAGGAAAAAAAATGATGTTTGACACGAGACACTATTCAAACCCCAACATGATTAAGGGAATAATCAATCAATTCATTCCCATAATCTCTTTGTTTCTCATTCTTTACAAAAGCTTTTGCCTTATTGCTCTTTGCTAATATTAGAAGGCAAAAAATCAAGTTCACAAGCCTTCGGCTATGAATATCCTAAGACCACTGCCAAACTAAGCAATGTGCATAAATAGTCCCAAAATGATAGGAAGAGATGAATAAGAAATAACCAAAATACAATACTGTATCTAAGAAATTAAATATAATTGACAGTGATACATTAAAATCACCCAAAAGATGAAGAAATAGACAAAATAAAAACCTCGTGCCAACGGGAGTATCTGATGATGCTTGTATATCTTGGTCAATGGGATCTATGACACCGGATGATGCTTGTAGATCCATTTTTACTTTATGATGCCACCCGTTGAAGCTGCCTGCCACCTCAACACTTTCCCCATCCGCCCAATATTGAATTTCAACCTAACAGAAATAAATGTAATATATCAAAAAAACATAGCTCCGCCAGTAAAAATCAAGATAACACTGGTGTGGGTCGGAAACTTGGAGGTGAGGCTTTAGTTTCCTACTTATTTAGTAACTGTTCTATTCTATTTATTGTCTGTTTATTTTTGTATTGGTAAGAACAGAATTCTAGTTAATTTCAGATTAGGGTTTTCAACCATTTTAATACTTGTTTCCTTTGTTTCACTGAAACTTAAATTTCTCTTGATTTTCTTAATTCTAAGATCATAATGTTCTTGCTGCTTCTGCTGTGTCAATTGTCAAATACCCTACCCTGGTCAGCCTAAGTCACGCTTCAGCGACAGATTATCATGCTTTTCATTCTTCATAACGAAGCCAACATCTTTGTAAAAGTTCTGGTGAAGTTCATAAACCTCATTTTCCGAAGAAATTGTAGCAATTTCCCAATATTCTTATATATTATATTTTGGTTGTTGTAGCCAAGAATCTTAAAAATTCAAGAAGTGTTAATACAAGAAGTTGGTTAAATACCTCCTTCAGTCCTGAAAGGCTATCTTCAGCAGCATTTAGTTCTGCATCTTTTTCCAAAATAAGTCTTTGTGCTTCGCTGATTTCTCTTTCAGCTTTGATTTGCAGACTAGATAGTAAGCGCTGAAAGTAGAAAATTAAGAAAATTACACTTTTCTACTTCATGAGAACCAATTGTTCATTTGAGTAACATGTTACAAGTATCAAATTTATGGTAGAACCGTAGAATCCCACTATCACAGTAATATATGACCAGAATAGCTGAAATGAATTACCAAAATAATAGTAATGATCATATCAGCAGCAAGAATAAACTAGTTCAATTCAGATGCCACAGCAAGTTCCCAAGAAAGATCACTCGAGTTTCCCTTACCCACTGGTCCTTTTCGTAGTTTGTTGAGTTGTGTTATTGTGTGTAGAATGGTGTCATCAAAATGTCAAGTAACACTTAATACGTTACAAGATGTATTGAAGAAACTGAACATGAGAGCTCATAAGCCAATAGTTACATGACATAGAAGGATGGCAACTGAGTGGCAACATGTCTGCAGTGCAGAAAATGTGTCTTTTTTCTCTCTTCACTTGAAAAAGAAAAATACTCATTACTACCGCCAGACAAAAAGGGTTGTTAGGTCTTTTTATATTTATCTACTTTCCTTTTCCCCCCGAATGGGAGGAGTAAGAAGAAACATCATACCTTTTCCTCTTCAATCTGCTGCTTCAAATGAGTTAACTCCAGCTCCTTCTGATGCTAAGAACAAAAAAAAAAAAAAAACAATTAAGGCATTGGTTAATCTTATGGAAAAGCATATACTATATAAAAAAGTTTTGTACGAAAGGAAAACTGAAGCCGAGTAAGGTAAGCAAAATTTCAACAGTAAATGATCCAAAGAGTGGTACCAGCATGAACTTGAGACGATTAATTTCAGCTTGATTCTCCACTTTTTGGGGCTAACAGATAAAATGTGAAGGCAAAGGAAACTCCAAGTCAAAAGTGGCATCAAATAAAAAGCAAACAGTCAGAACGAAGAATTTTATCACCTCAACATCAGCACTATTTCTCCCTTCAGTCATGGCTAGGTCTTCAGTTGAAAGGCTATTATTCCTACAAAAATCAGGGTGCATTCAGAATAACATAACAAGAAGCATCTTTAGTTCAATATCTGATGTGTAATCTTAGAGCTTGTAAAAGACAAAACAATACATAGACAAGAAGCGGACAGGAAACGTAAACTTTTCAAAAAAGAAAAAGTTATCAGCTTGTTGATTGCGTGGAAAACAATCAAAGGTGGATTTATTGAATCAGCAAGAATGAGACACAAAAAAGAACTTCGATGGTTTTATATATACTGATTATTTCAAATTCATCCTGCATCAAGTTTAATGAAAGCATGACCGTATATTGGTAAACACAATGGCAAAAGATGAAGCGACGTTGATGAAGCACCCAAAGATAGTTTACTGAAAGCCCGGTGGAAAATGAAGGACCTATACATTCAGATGAAAGCATAAATATTGCAAGAAACGCATACCTCATCCCGAAACTCTGCCCACTACGATGTTCAACATGCTGGGTTGATGTTGGCATGGAATTTCCATTATGTAACTCTGCACCATTATCGTTACAGAGAACAAGATCTTTATGCTCCTTCGGAGTAGTAGATTCTGTTTTTACAACATCCTGTCCTACAACAGATCCCTCCAATTGCTCGGAACCTCTTTCATTGAAAATTTCAAAGCCACTATCTGAAAAATCAAGCAAAAACAAAACAGTTAGATTTACACACACTATTTGTATCTCATTTTAGAATCCGATCAATTTACTCAAGCTCACATCACCAGAACGTAACAGTTTATCCAAGGCCTTAGCCAGTGGCAAAGATTGGTAACTGGATGAGGACAGAAGGAACAGCAGATACAACATGCATCAAAACTAAATCTAAACGTTTTTACATTTGACAAGGGGAAGATGTACGTCTCAATGCCTCAACATAGCTTTTTGCAAAAAATCAGATAAGAACACACATGGAACATGAAAATACTGAATATGGAAAATATAAATATAGATGACTCCCTACCTACTTTTAAGGAGTTAGTTTTATTTTAAAATTAAACTTATAGGAGTAGAAGAAAATAAAAAAAATAAAAAAGTATTTAGAGGATGTGTAGTTGATTCGATGATTGTCAGAATTTGTGTATAAAGTTGGTTTGATAGAGAAGAAGAATGTACGTCATAGTTTGGATTGGAGGGAAAGAAATAGGAGAGCGTTCAAAGGGGTAGAAAACAGTTTTGTACAAATGAGACATGTTTATTATTTTTACTTAACTTCTGGAGCACCAACAAGGGTCCTGTATATATAGGTGACTGGGTGCTTCTTTACAAAATCAAATTTTAGTGTAAGATTCCCTACTTCTTGTAAACTCTTGTATGCTGGAGTCTTGCCCCAATACATCAATAAAAAATCTTCACCTTATCGACACACACAAAAGAAAAAGCTCATAGCTTAGACTGAGTTGCTACTAATTTTGACTTCAGCACTTCTAATGGTTTGCACAGAATTAGCACGTATAAAGTGCGTCAAATATTTGGGACGAAACGGGAAACATGTAACTTGGATGAATTGGACGGAACTACCTGAATACCAATTCAGTGAACCAAGATAAACATGAGAAGAAGAGAGTGAGGTATGGACGGAACATGTATATCTTGTTTCTATTGAACAAATGTAGCAAGCCCACTTTCCATGCAATCTAAAGGTAAGTACCCTCGAGTAGCATCACTTACCCTCTACACTATCCAATTCTCCATTCTGAATAAAATTGGCCACCTTTTCTTCCAAGGAGGAATAGCGTGAAGGCTGTTGATCACCAGAATTTTGCTCATCAGACTTCACCACTCTGTCATTGTTTGCATCATTCGTGTAGTCATCTACTGCAGACGCTTCACTTGGTAAGGAAACATCATGAGCCATGTCCGTCATTTTTCCATCCTGACCTTTTAAATTAGTATGTTGTCAATCAGAAAAATCCAAAAATGGCCATGTTAAAACCTAAAATGCACAGGGATCAAGAAATGCTGACCTGACGATTCATCTCCACTTTTTTCAACAAGGCCATCTGCTTCACTGCACTCATCATAGGTTGGTTGCTTGGAAGTTGACAGAAGCTCCCTGAGAAGTTTATAACCTCTTCTTCTAACAATGTTTGCGAGGTCTTGCCTGTAGAATGTATGAGAAAATCACGTAGCTAAAGCTTAGACTTGTTACTTGACCTGAGAGAGTGTGGAGAGAGAGAGAGGAGGGGAGGAGGGTTTGTGGAGGGGGAGAAGTGGCGAAGCGAGAAATTTACTCAAGCGTGTTCAAAATTGAAAGAAGTGAAAAAAATTCTCCGACAAAGAGTGATGTGGTCAATATATGATATATACCTATAAAATTAAATACTTTACCAAGTACACAGTGTAATTTTCCGACGCCCTTCAAAACAAATAGCTTCGCCCCTTGGGGGGGGGGGGGCGGGGGGGGTAAGGGGGGGGAAACTAAACCGTAAAAAGNGCGCCCACCTGGAGAACAAGGGAATACATTTCAAGTGTCAGCAATTAGGCACCCACCTGGAGAACAAGGGAATACATTTTAAGTTCAGCAGTCAGGCGCCCACCTGGAGAACAAGGGAAGTACAATTCAAATTTTAGCTTTCAAATTTTTAGTAATATTTGGTAACATGATGCGCGCAGCCACCAAACTGGGGCAGAAAATTTTCTTTGTTTTGTTGAAGTCAGGCGCCCACCTGGAGAACAAGGGAATACATGTCAAGTTCAACAATCAGGCGCCCGCCTGGAGAACAAGGGAATACATGTCAAGTTCAGCAATCAGGCGCCCACCTGGAGAACAAGGGAATACATTTCAAGTTCAGCAATCAGGCACCCACCTGGAGAACAAGGGAATACATTTCAAATTTCGCAATCAGGCGCCCACCTGGAGAACAAGGGAATACATTCTAAATTTCGCAATCAGGCGCCCACCTGGAGAACAAGGGAATACATTTTAAATTTCAGCAATCAGGCGCCCACCTGGGGAACAAGGGAATACCACCTGGAGAACAAGGGAAGTACAATTCAAATTTTAGCTTTCAAATTTTTAGTAGTGTTTGGTAACATGAGGGGCAGAAAATTGTCTATTTTTGAAATCAGGAGCCCGCCTGGAGAACAGAGGCATTTATTTCAAGTTTTAGCAATCAGGAGCCCGCCTGGAGAACAGAGGCATTTATTTCAAGTTTTTAGCAATCAGGAGCCCGCCTGGAGAACAGAGGCATTTATTTTCAAGTTTTAGCAATCAGGAGCCCGCCTGGAGAACAGAGGCATTTATTTTCAAGTTTTTAGCAATCAGGAGCCCGCCTGGAGAACAGAGGCATTTATTTTCAAGTTTTAGCAATCAGGGGCCCACCTGGAGAACAAGGGAATATTTCAAATTTCAGCAATCAGGAGCCCGCCTGGAGAACAAGGGAATACTTTTTAGGCGTCTGCAGTCAGGAGCCCACCTGGAAAACGGACACATGTTTCAAGTGGTAACAATCAAGCATCATTCGGAGGAATGGCAGCAATATCGCCAATCACAATGCAAAACAACAACAGGAATACCATCGGAAGATTACAAGATACAAGTTCAAGGCAACACAAGAACAAGTTAGAAGACATAGATAGGACCCTCTAGTAATTCGTAGATCATAGCTTAGGCTAGCTTCTTTTCATTTTAACACGGTGTAATAAGGAGGTCAGCGAACAGTGGCAACAACAACAGCAGAAAGTCGCAGCTCTTGGTAGTCCCAGCTACCAGACATTCCCGAACTACACTGACCTGATTCCTGCTTAGCCCAGGATATGTAGGCAACCTTTGAAGCAGGGTGCGGTCAACTCTTTTTAAAAAAAATGCTTCACACGGAATATGCGAACGGGCAAAAATCGCTCGTTTCCGCTCACTTATCTTTGCACGAAAACTCTTCGTGTTTCCGGGCAAAGAGGGGCAGCTGTGAGCACGTGATTTTTGCCCTAAGCAATAATTCCCAAAATTTCAAACAAAAATAATTTCTTTAGTATTTTATAATGTTTTGTGAATTTTGTGGCACTTTTGGTAATTGTTGCATTTTTATTTGTGCACTTTAATTCATATGAAAATACAAAAATATGCATTTTTGCATTTAGGATTTAATTTCATATTTTAGTATTAATCTGTTTTAGAACAAAATGTTAAGAAAATAACAAAAAGGGTCCATTTTGCATTTTTGGTATTAGTTTGCATTTCTCTTTAGGAATTAATTAGGAAATATAATTGTTAGAGTCAATTTGTTTTTAGTTTTATTGTAGAATTTTATAAAATAGATAAATAAATATAAAAATACATAAAAAAAATAATAATACAAAAGCAAGAAAATACAAAGAAAACAAATTGGTCTCAATAAAATGCCCAAATTGGGCCAAAAATGGTTTAGCCCACCCCAAAAAATCCCTCAAAACCGGACCAAACCACTGGCCCAAACGCCCTGCCCGGATTTCAAGTTTCAGCAATCAG